ACTTTGCATTCTGACAGGTTTATTTCTGACAGAAAGAAACCTGTCAGAATGCAAAGTTAGGACAAAACTCAAATGAATGGGCTTTCTGTGGACAAAATTACATGGTCAGAGCCTGAGAAAAGCTCCAGGTTCTAGAAAAGCATGGAAAGGACTGAGATGGGTTGGTAAATCCAAAATCTCTATATCCACCGCAGCATCAACAGAGATGGACAAAACATGACTGCTCTGTTATCAGGAGGAGAATCACAAAATCAGCAACAGCAGTCCTGGTCCTACTGTAAGAAGCCAGCTGCATCTATACTCAACAGCAGATATTCAGAGCTTGAAGACAGAAAGTTATCTTGGCTTCCATAATCATCCTGTCTGTATCTGAATGCATACAACACAAACACACCCACACCCTTGCACATACATACATACATGTATCACTTTAGTCTCAAACATGTTTCACATACATGTGTGTACATATATATTTCTCTAGACTGAACAGATGACCAATAATACAGACTGAGTCATTTATTTGATGCTGCTCCCACGTCTTATTTTGTCAGTATGCAGCATGTTCTACTGAAAACAGAGTACAGAAGTTCCTAAGGACAGGAGTCAATAGACTTTGGATGTTTAGAAGAGAACTGGAGAAGATATAAGATAGTGAGAAAAATGCACTGGATGTAAATCTCTGTGAGATACATCACTCAGCCGCAAACCAGTTGAAAAGAAAGTATGAAGTATGAAGCTTGGAAAGATATGGAGCTTTCTAAATGAATAGCTTCTAGAATGATACTCCCATACAATTTCTAACAGACTAATGGGGGAAAGAAAAATATTTTAACAAGTCTTTGATTTTCACAATTGCCCCTGTACTTTCAGTGTATGATTATAGATTAAGTAAAACATGGAAGAAAGAAAAATAATGTAACAATTCTGTGTCTAAACCCACATTAGAATTTTAAAATAGTAAAGTCTTAAAATTCTTTGAAGTCCTCAGATTGTATTCATTTAACTTAAATTCATTTTAAATTAATAGAAAAAAACAAGGTTCTAGATTGCATGAGGCAAAAATTTTTGAAATTTTTTTTGTCTGCAATTTTTTTCAAATAAATCTCTGGACAGGGATTTATAGTTTTGTGATGAGTAACCTTGATGTTTCAGGTTAAGACGACATTATTCAATGTCTCTCTTGCTGATTTTTAAATTTCAGATTGGGGATTGCAAACCCTCTCCCATTAACAACTGGGATTACAAATTCAGTTTTCACCTGACTATCCCTAACTTGTTTAAATGAATCAGAAATTATAAATCAAAGATACAATATTTCCCTAATACAAGTAAAAGAGTCGCAGCTAAAATACAAAAGGAAAAAAAGAAGTCTAACTTTACCAGAGCTTAATGAGGTAAGGTACTAGTATCTCAGTGGGGAGGCAACTAAATTGGGTGATTACTCCAACATGTCACACTGAGGTCTGGCAATTTATGAAAGCTGAATATTTAGATTAAATTTGTAAGTGATAGCCATAATGCTGTATTTAGATCTTTGAATTATCTAAACAATTTCAAAGTGTTACAGTTATTAATTTGTTTCAAAATTAATTCGTACAATATTGCATTAAAATACTTTATTTTTTTAAATCAGAAAAGTATGCAAAGTGTAGTTTGTAAATAACATCTTTAAGGAAAAGAGAAAATAACAGGAGAAGGTCTGCTATTGCTGCTGCTTTTTATGTGATTTCAGCTGCATTACTGGGTGACTGGAGTTACAGACATAAGAATGTTGTTAAGAAAGATAATGATTAAGCATGAGTACTAAAAATTGTAAGTAATAACCAAATTTTTAAATTGAAAAATTGTAAGAAATTCTCATCAAGAAACTGAGAAAACAAAGATCAGCAGAAAGAATAATAATTCATATACTGCTGTGACAAAAACATAAAACAAAGATCTGACTATTCCTGTATAATGGTCATTGTACACTACTCACTAGCATTTATATGGGGTGGATTATTGTACGTCACCTCTCAGTTATTATTTAAGTTTTCAGCAGTGAATACACCAGACAACCAAAGTCACAGAAGACTGAAAAAACCCTCAAACCCAAATTCTCCTGGCATATGTGTTAGCTTTAAATCTATGTAATACAACCTCAAGTCTCTAAAATTTGCCAACATTAGGGATTCAGAATTTGTCAAGTATCCTGAGCACCACTACTCTTCCTCTGATACTGAGCACTGTCACTGGTAATCCCGATGCAAGTGAACTTTAACTGCATCCCCTCAAAATGAGCTCTATCAAAAACAGAAAAAGAAAACAGCAGAGGACAACCAAACCAGAGTCTTAGAAGAAATTCTCCCATGGAAGATGCCAATGGACTCCATTTATCAGATAAGCATAGCACAACCTCAGCCAGCATCCACACTACATCTTGATTTACCTCCCTTGTCCACTGAGATCTAGAAATGGAACTACAGGTCTTGTAACTAGACCCAAGTGGAAAGTGTGAAAGCTGTTCAGTTTATTGAGGGTGGTGGGTATTTCACCTGAACAGAGCAAGACTCCAACCATCTTCACATAATTTTCTAATCTTTTCATTCTGACACCTGCTGTTTTCTCCAGTCTACAGTCCTGTATATTACATGAATTCAACAGAAAAAACCAATTACCTTCTCAGGGATGAGCTTGCACTTTTCTCTCTTGCACAATCTCAGATTTGACATTTTGCATAGAGAGAGATATGTTCAACAGTGGGGAAAAGTAAGCAAGAGAAGTTACCACTGGTGTGAAGCAGAAGTAAGTTTCAACCCTCTCCAAATGTTCATGCTCTGCCAAAGAGCATCCACACAGACTCAGTGGGATGGAACTATCTAAGGAAGATGGATGGAGGCCAAAAAAATATCTGAAGCCACTAGAGAGGATAGAAAGATGCATTTGGGAAATAGTGAGGGTTTGATACCAGAAAGATATTAAAAAGCGTATTATGATTGAAAGGCCTGGGCTTAGAAGGAAGACCAAGCTGCTCAGGACAGCAGTTTGAGCTGCTGCTACAGCTACCTGGAAAGGATTCAGGAGCTTTAATATGCACACTTTTGCAGGCAGATATGAGCTTATTTAGCACGAGCTGCCCAGAAGCCATTCTGCCATGGGAGCAGCCCATCAAGCGCTGGGTAGGAAGCCTTGCTGCAAAGCCGTGTGTGTTCCATAGGCAACGTACCCTTCTGCCGTGGCCCCAGTCCTCAGGCTCACCCGGGCTGCAGGCTACTGTAAGCTCACATCAGTTTGCAAATGGGCGTGCACACACACTCACAAGGGAAAAAACAGAAAGAAGAAAGATTTCAAGACCAGTGTGCAATGAATCCATCAACTAAGAGGTAGGAAAAACTGAAGTTTGCGGGATCAGGGATGAGCATTGGTCGCTGAGAAGCAGTTGAGAAAAATTAACAGGAAGATGGAACTTATGATGAGGGGAGAGCAATACCAGATATGCTCACTCAGAGAGGGGACACTGTGAAGCCCCAAATTTGTACCAGAAGTTTCTTTCAGAGGCAGCTCTTTAACTGAGACACGTTAAATACTGGAAATGTGAGACTTTTAATGTAGTAAAGGTCTTCATGTAACACCTTCTGTCACCTCCTAGACATTATGGCAACTTTTTTGGTAGTGATTTGAATTCAATGCAACACAATTATATCACAAACTCTTTAAAAAAAAGGTCAAAACAACTCAGGTAAAAACACCTGGCTTCAGTCACATACCCCAAGATAGCTGGTATTCACATTATCACACTTGGCTTGAAGTTCAATACTGCAATACTGCATTTAATTCCATATTTGCAATATGGAAGTTATTATCTTCTATCTTTCATTCTCTTTTGATTGCATTCAAACTGTCAGTAATATTTAATGTTTTTTCCCTTAAACTTTTCAAATATAACTTTGGAAAGGGAGACATTTCATTTGATGAAAGAGCACAAACACAAAAAGGTGCTTGCTACAGATAAATAAAAAATATTGCTATTTTACTTTGCCTCCTATCACTTTTCCTTTTTATTTAGCTCTTTAATGTATATCTGCTTTGGATGCAGCCTACAACATAGATTGCCTTATTGACACCTACTATTCACTATGTTATTTTCTGTAATGTATGTAAAAATATTAACTAATCTATTTTCATATCTATGGGATGGATTACAGATTATTTCCTCCAATATACCTGGAGAAAAAAAATCTACACTTAAAAAGAACCTGCCTATTATCTTAAAACATTTCATGAAAATGATATGCATTGGAATTCAGAAATTGCTATGACTCTATCCTTTAGTAAGATTTTGTCAAAACTGAAACTCTTCTTACTGATTCTACTTTCATTCTCACAACTACAGTGATTTTTAGGAATGGACAGATCAAATTGCACATATTTATATAAATGCACCTTTGCATTGCATATACAAGTTTGGCATAGAAACACAAACATAAATAGTTCTCATATTTGTTAAGGATTTATTTAAGTCTTTTGGTTGATAAATGTTAAATTGATTGATCTCTCATTGAAATTCTCATCTCCCCAGAGCATAAAAAATCTACTTATATATTTATCACAACTCCAGCAATGGCATCTGGAACCTTTAAGACACGTTACTTTTTGTGAACATCTTAATTGTTTTTCTATTGATTAAATTTGATGTAATAGTGAGAACATACTGACTTTATTTTAGCAAATGGGGAAACAATACAAATCTACAAGAGAGAAAATATTTGTAATATACAAGCTTGGATGAAAACATCTAAGAAAAGAAAAACAGAAAATCCCGAACAGCTCTTCTAAAGATTATTTTTGAATGACCTGAAGCTTGTATTCTAATTAATTTCCAATTTTAGGTTTACATCACTGAAAGTCATCATCTTTCTTGATGGACTTATTATTTAGTTCACAGATGACTAAGAATGAGGAATACCAATTCAAACAAGAGCAAGATGATAAAGGCAAAGCACAGGTTTTGAAGTACTCACCTTAGGCACCCAGTGGCATTGCGCAGCACCTGTGATGAATGGAGCTGTATTTTATGATCATCCTGGAGTGGAGAGTTTTCCCATCCAGAGTGAGGGATGATCACTGCATTGGTCAACACTGCAAGGGCATCCTGGATGATTGGCATTTTCAGTGCATCACAGGAGGATAGATTCCAGAGAACTCCTACAAAAAGTAAAATGACTAAAAATTAACACTTCTTCAAAACAAGTTTTGAATGTTTTTTGTTTAAAAAAACCCAATCCAAGCCAATATATTTCACAGCATTGGTGTATTCAATTTAGCTGTTTCTGTCCAAAATAAAACAGACTACATTGTAGATGGGGCTGAATGACACCTGCAAACTTTTGCAGTGGGAATACAGCTTTAAATATGAAACACGTAGACACAGGAGCACTGGAAATTTCTCAGAGCTCTGCCTAAAGTCTGAGCAGCTGGTTATGATCTAGGCCTACACAGGCTGTGAAGCACACATGGAATGAAGGAATTTTTTAGGGCATGGTCTTCAGATATCTTTCTTCTAAGTAAAATTAATAAAAACCAGTATCAGAAAACAGGTTCTAGGCTAAAACTTTCACTGGTGATAGACACACATTGAGAGAACAAAACCTCCACCCTGTGATCATCACTGTAATGGAAGTAACTGTCTAGGCTTCTTGGTACTACAAGCAAAACCTGATACAGTAGTATTTTCTGCAAGTAATGTTATATTTTCCAAATATTTAGCTATACAAAGGCAGAGAATACTGTAATTTTTACATGGAAACAGCAAGCTCAACGGTGCAACTAACAAGGACATTTACTGGAGTTTAAAAAGACCAAAATCCCTTCTGTTGCAACTCGGAATGTACCAAAGAAAAAGAAGAGAAATCAAGAGCCAAAATTTTCTAAGCATATCTGCAAAGATCAAGGTCACTGCAATTGTGCCACACAGAAGGCAGGCAAGAAATTGTTAGGAGCAAAAGACATACTGCTTTCCATTCCCATATTTATGTATTTGCTGGAAAAGCACAGGTGACTTCAGTGCTGTGCCAAGTGCCGGCTGCTGCCGGGCAGCTCTTACTGCTGGGGGAAGCTGGAGGACAATTTGCTATTCTGAAGAACCAGTGTCTTTATTTTAGCTCAGCACCCTCCCAGCAGTGGCTGGAGGAAGAAGCTGCCCCATCATGCCCCTCCCCTTGTCAACATGCGTCCTCTTCTGTAGAATCCAATCCTACTCCTCCCTACTCTCCTTCCCAAAGGACAGTAGGCCTGGCATCATATCTAACCTTGAGTGGCAAAACTGAGTTTTGATTTTATATCTATCAAAAGTTTTCAACCAAAAGAGAATAATTACTACCCTCATCATCATTGTATATAGGTTACAAATACAAACACTACAAAAAATCCAAGTGAGTGTTGTGGGAGGAAAAAGCTGAAGGAAGGCCTTAGGAACACAGACTCATTTATAAATACAAGCAGCAAGAACACTACTTGTTCAAGATTTTCCTTAGCATTCTGTGCTTTGACAGAGCAGTCAGGAATCAACTTGCATTTTTTGATTTCCCTTTAAAATTAATTACCTCTATAGGGAGACTGTTTCAGTTATACCATTTCATGTTTAAATTATTTTATATGCTAACTATCTGCAAAGGTAGTTACACAGTTTAATATAAAACTTTGATCAGTATACTAGTAAAAGAAACCCTATTAACATGATCTGCATGAGGCAGACCAACTTCAGCTACAGACAAAAAAACCCCAGAAGTAAGAAAAATGTTCATTTTAATAATATTCATTTTTCATTAAGAATTGTTACTTTAAAGGGAAAAGAGTCTTTGTTTGAATTCTGTTCTGAATGTCATAATGAAAAGGAATTCCATATTTAAAGGAATAAAGACCTTCATAAGGATATTTATACTTGCTTTTCTATGTGTTCTTGCTCTTGGAAAGCTTTAATGGCACATCTACTATTCTTGAAATACCTAGCATTTTGCTGGTTTTGTCAGTAAGAACAACAATACAGTTGCCTTTTTTTTTTTAAACATTTATCTAGACAGGTGTAGATGATGTGCATGGTATAAAAGCAGAGAATCAGAATGCAAATCTTTCCCCCTTTAAGGTTCAGTTTAGTTCTTATGCAAGACAAGAGGTTGTAACTTTGTAAAGAAGTCCTGTTTTAAAAGTGAAGTAGAAGAGAGTATTTTGATGGCAGCAAAACAATATTTTGGGTTTCAAGAAGTAGTCATGAACTGGAAAAGCAGAAAAGAATACAAAACAAGCAAACATAAGAGCCCCATCTAGCAAAATGCTTAAAGAACATGTATGTCAAAGCTATTTTCTATTCACTTCAGGTTCTTGCAAATTTAAAGTAAACTCACATTAACATCATGGTATTCAGCAACAGTTGAGCCTAGAAAAATTCTTTAAGCCCTCTTTCTCTCTGATTTCTCTAACTGGAAAATGAAACCTTCAGAGTAAGAGGATGATGGGATCACCGGGCTAAAATGCCTATTACACCTTCTCCTAAAATGATTTTAAGTCAAGGCAGAAGCATTGCCCAGTGAGCCTGATGCCTTCTTCCAAGTTTTTACTGCTCACAGTTTTAAAGAGTGAGATTATTCTCTTTCACCCCAGAACAATGCATTTTATCTAATTGAGACTGAATACTACCAACCACATGAACCAAAAATTTTCTACTGACATGCTACAATTTATTCTCACAAGCAGTGCAGTCTGCTACATGCTGAGGTTGGCATTCTACACACCTCCTTGTAACCTTCTTAATTAAGAAATTTGCAATTACAAAAGGGCATTGGCAATTCACTCCTCACTGTTTTTGCTGAGGATAACCTGGAGCTAGATTTATGTGGGATCTGAGAAGATGATCCATTGCCTTGACTTTGCAAGGGAGAATGACAGTAACATAAATCCTTTACCTGATACACCTTCCATTACAGAGTCACCTTTTCACCACATGATTCTGAACATTATTTTCCAAGTGTCTATTCATGACATGCCTTTAGGGCTACTGTAAGAAACTCACAGAATACTCTGAAAGCCCTGCCTGAACTGGGTTTCTGAGCACAAGAAGCAACTCTGCAATGGCCTCAGAGGTGCCTTGACTGACCCCTGGAGAATTTGCATTGCCATCACCTGCTCAGAGGAAGGTAAGGGACTGGACTCACCAGTGGCCAATGTCAAAAAGTGGGATCCACCCAACAACCCAACAGTCCAACCCAACTGTTTACCATCCACAGACTGACTCTTGTGAGAGGTATGAAATAAAGAACTAATCAGTGTTGAACATCTCTTAATCACTTTCATTCATATCTTATCTTCTTCTTGCTTTTAAAGCTCTGAGGCATTCAGATTAAGCATTTTGTGTCCCCATTTTCAGATAACTATTTGGTTATATTAGAAGACTTGAAGAAAGACAAAAAGAGCTACACCAGACTGAGCAAGTCTTTTTGCAGGTTGAGGTTTTTCACCCTTACATATAAAAAAATGGAAATACAGTGAAAAAGTATCTTGCAATCACATTTTAAACTTAAAACTGAGGAGAAACTGGTATTGAAAATATTCAGTTCATTCCAGTTAGAAGATGAATTTTGGGTCTGAGTATTAGTCTAGCAGACATCAGATGAAGGATTCTTAGAGAAGACTATAGGAATGCTTATTCTGGAGATCTTACTGCATCAAGTTGCATCTTCTGGAGTAGTTTATCAGAGGTCATGCAACTGCTATGCCCAATGGGTTGCCCAGTTTATTGGAGCAGTCAGAGTGAAAACCCCATAATCTCTGAATCAGGCTGGAGCTCAAACTCATGGTGATTAAACACTTCAATGCATTTTTGTGCTGGTGTTTTAGTAAGAACTGGTATATGTGTATCTATAGTCAGATATAACTCAAGACCTGATAAGCCACATGCTATCCTTATTCCATTCAAAGTTAAGAACATAGAGATCACATACATCTATGCAAAAAATATCATCATAGCAATAGAACATATGCAAAACCAAGAAAGTCTAAACACCTAGTTAGCTCATGATTTAATGCAACATCAAATTATGACTTATATATAAAAAACAAACCTCTCAGAACAACTTCAGACTACAAATATAAATGGAAACCAAGAAACTGGAAAAGTAATCTTTTCCAAAAAGCATTACCCCTGCCACTATGTTTTTAGAAATAAATTATCTGGTAAAAAGATTGTAAGTAAACAAATACTGTTTGGAGAAACGAAATTTGATTCTTCTCAATATGGGATGTTTAAGCCAACTTTCATATTCTCTGTAAAAATAAAAATCCAAAAGTATTCTAATATATCCAGGGTCTCCTTTTCCATGATAATTTAATAGTTTGGTCATGGAATGATGCGGAAACCCATTTGATATTGCTGAGAGACTGCATCCCACAAATAGAGACCAAAGCATCGGCAGGCATTTTTGTTTATATGCTGAAGGCACAGAAATACTACTGGGAGTTTCCCTCAGAAACATGACAATTAAGATTGAAATCTGAGTGCTAAATACCCTGCACAGAAGCCAAGCACAAGGGATCTTTTGCTGGAATCCTTAGGAAAAACAACTTCTAGCTCAAGCTCCCAAGTGCTAGAAAAGTCATTTGCTGGCTGTTGCTTGGAGCCCCTGCTCTAATTGCAAGGCTGCTCTGCAGAGCTGGATCTGCTCCCTGGCAGCAGGTGTGGGCTCCTGATAGATCACAGCAGTTCTGCTGCAGAGATGCTGAATATCAACCACAACATTTCTTAATACAAAGTGCAGTAAGACTTCACAAGCAGCCCAACTGTGAGAAACTGTCTCAGTAACAGACTTTCTGTAGGAAAGAAAAAGTGGCTGATTTGAAAAGTTCTGGCACCTGAACAACATTTAGCTCAGACGGAATCTCCTTAAAAGCACACTCTGAAAGTAAGTTAAAAACTGGCATAACAGATGAGGAATTTTCACCAGTATTCCTGAATATTTATCTGGTTTGTGAACAACTACCTATGCATACCTTGCTGTAATTCAAAGGTTGACATGCACAGAGTGGTTTGCTATCTGTGTATAAGCTGACATAGGAAAATTCCACATTGATAAATACTGAACTTCAGTAAAAGCCACAAGCAGGCAGGAGCTTATGGAACACTAAGCAAAGTCGCAGCAGTAATTTCTCTGCTTTGC